CAGTCAGGAGCCCTGCTGGGTAAATGTCCAACCTAGCCATGCCCACTTTCTAAAAACACCTGGTGGGTGCCAGGGAGGGTATCAGCAGCGAGTGGCATGGGGCTCATGGTTGCCAGGTTGGGGACCCCTGCTCTAACCACTACACCACTTGGCTTCAACAGGGGAGACGTGGGTACAAATCTCTGCTTAACGAAGAGGCTCTCTGAATGTCCTCCTGGAGCTAGTCTGCTTTTGCATATTCCATTTTTCAACCTTTCACATTGCCACTGTGTTAAATTTGCTGTGTGGCCGAGACTTCACTTAATAGCAGCTTGCTTCCTCTTCCCCTAAAGTCACTATAGTTAAGACAGCATAGCAAGAGTCCCATAGCTACATTGTGAGTCCTTTAGGGACAGAGGTGCAGCAACGTATTGTTGCTACAGGATCTTTGTATTTTAGGCAATAAATAAATGCACCGTGTCATCCAGTGAATTAGCCCCTTCCCTGCTTGCATCACTGCATTAATCAGTTGAACTCTGCACAGATTTACAGTTCGTTTGCAAAATGAGAGGATTTTAGGAATATTAATTGCAGGTCTTCCCTGTTGTGGAACAGCGATGGACCCTATTTAACCCCAGATAAAATGTATTCACATTGGCATGCTTAGAATGTATGTTTAATCTCTAATGTGGCTAGAGAAATGGCTCTGTTTCATATAGCTAAGTCGTGTGTGTGTGTGTGGGGGGGGAAATCTGTCTTTCTACCATTATTTAACCATCCCGATTATGGGAAGTAGGAATTTGGAGTGTCAGTCCTCTCTTATCTTAGATATCAAGAGTTTGTACTCCAGAGTCCAATAGGACGGCAACTGCTTGCTGTTCCAGCTGAATTTAAAGTGTATCTTTGCTATTTTGTCGCATTAGATTTCCTTGTGAACAGAGGCCTTTGACTATTATACCTGGCATAAGAGTTGTTTTGGAATTTTAATCTGGGGATCACTTGTGCTGTATAAATTCCAGACAGTTTTCTTAAAGGAGATTACAAAAAAAAAAAAAGACTTTCATTTTGGTAGTATTTAATGAGTTCGGTTGCCAATTCCACAAAATGGGTTGCTGTGTGGTAGGAGAGTGTGGAGGAATGATGGAGCATAGAGATAAGGTGATGTGAGCAAAGCCTGGGTGGGGGCACTGATTTCGGGGGGAGAAACCGGAAGCAGCAATGATACTGCCGTGTTTTGGTACTGTATATGGCCAGAACTGGCTTAATTTTATGAGAAGCTGTATGTTATTCCCACAGGGATCCTTTGACTTAAAATCTTATAGCTTCTGTGCCCATTGGGCCTTGAATTAAATCAATGACCTTTAACATATTTTGATGTAAATATTGCTGTGGGTTGATTCAGTGGGTTTTAAAAAACAAATCGGGAAGGCTTATTTCAGAACCAAAGTAGATGCCAGATGCGCGGAAATAACCAGATGATTAAGAACTGAACTGGTATTATGGTCACTGGCTGGCTTAAGTACGGGAGAGAGACCGGATGGTGCACACAGTAATTTTCATGCTAGCACAAAAACTGGTGTGTTGCTTCATTTATATTTGCTACCTACCATTTACCCGATGGCTCCCAAGAACTAGGTTGTGTCCACTAAGAATGCCCCTTCCAGCTCCCCCTCTTAGCTTTCATAAGTAACGTAATCAGCGCCATCGAGAAACCACCTTTTTCTCATGAGAAGTGAAGGGAGGGAGGTGTTCTCTAAGGCTTTGCTGGTCCATCAGTTTAGTGTTTGATGTGGAGTTGTGCTTAGCTGTTGGAGGTCAGTACAGCGTGTTCACTGACCCCCCCCCAATAGCCGTGGGCAGTTCATTCCAAAAGGCAGTTCTTTATCGTATATATGATACAACTGATTGATCAACCAAAGAAAGGGCTAGATTTTCTTTGTGCAATGCAGCTGCATTTCCAAGCACAAACCTTTCTAGCAATATGCCTGAATAATAGTCTTCTCTGTCTTCACAGCTGACTTATGGAGTCCCTTGTGGGGTTTTCAAGGCAAGAGGTGTTTAGAGGTAGTTTGGCATTGTCTGCCTCCACGTCATGATCCTGGTATTTCCTGGTGGTCTCCCAAATGTTGACCAGGGCCAACCTTGCTTAGCTTCCAAGATCTGAAGAGATCGGGCCAGCCTGGGCTATCCAGGTCCGGAAAACTAGTTTGTGGTGATGGAAAATTCCATCACGTTGCAGTCGACTTATGGCGACCCTGTAGGGATTTCAAGGGAAGATACTTGAGAGGTGGTTTGCCATTGCCAGCCTCTGCTTCGTGACCTTAGACTTCCAGTTGGTCTTCCATCCAAATACTAGCCCAGGACTGTCCCTGCTTAGCTTCTGAGATCTGACAAAATCGGGCTAGCTTGGGCTATAGCCTGTTGGTCACTGGATGAGCTTAGTTCTGTGCTACAATTTAAACTTGTAAAAAATTAAGGTGTACCTGTGACGACCTCGTACTGATAACTTCACACTGAGTGTAACGGTACATCCTATTAGGATTGTCCAAAATGTTACACAGTCATCAAGCGAACGTGGAATTCTCCATAACTCTTAATATAAGAACATAAGAGATGCCAATGTTGGATCAGGCCAAAGGCCCATCCAGTCCAACACCCTGTGTCACACAGTGGCCAGAAATACCAGGTGCCATCAGGAGGTCCACCAGTGGGGCCAGGACACTAGAAGCCATCCCACGCATGACCCCCCCCCCCAAGCACCAAGAAGACAGAGCATCACTTGCCCCAGAGCCCCTCTTCATTAGCTGGTATGTTTAGTTTTTTACAAAAAAGAAAGAAAAGGAAGAAAAGAGGATGGGTAGAGAGGCGTGATGTCTGTGGTTTTAAATTTTGGTTTGTTTGTTGAGTTGTGATTTTAAATTTTGGTTTTTTTAAAAAATGTGTTTAATGTATTTTATTTTTGTGTGTTTTATCTATGTTGTAAACTGCCTTGAGCTCCATAATGGAGGAAAGGGGACTAATAAATGTTTTAAATAAATAATAGTTGCTTGTGGACATGATAGGAAAGCACAAGTTTGTGGCACTCTTAATGTGGAGTATTGGAAGTATTGCAGTGGAGTTTCCCCCCCCCCCCTTTGTGCTTTCGTTAATCTGGATGTTCAGTATGTGATTTCTGTGAGTCTTAAAATCTTTTCAATACTTTTTAATATTTTATCTTTATTAGGACCAACCAACACATAGTGCACTACTGCTGCACTTAAATCTTTTCTGCGAACCATCGTATTTACCTGTGCAGTTTTTCATACATTTAAAGTAGTTGTTTAGATAGTTCACCCAATGTCCATTTAATATCTTACAGGAGAAAAAAAGAAATTGTATGTTGCTTAAGAGTTTTAATATATTTTCCTTTAATAAATGCCTTTTTTGGCAGCTCATGCTGAAGGAAGCTTTTCTTATTTCATATTACGGCATAGTAGGTCGCATTCAAGCGTAAGGTTTTGGGAATTAATCTTGGTTGGGTCTTGTCTGCCCCCCTTCCGGGGGGGGGGGGGAAGCTCTGAAATTGAAGATGAAACCACAAACTGTGGCTGGTTGGGAATGTGGAAGTCTTCAGTATCCAATAAACCATAGTGCCATTGAGTTGTAAGGGCTGCGTAGTTGAGTGTTTGATGTAGTGGTTAGGAGTGCAGACTCTAGTCTGGGAGAACTGGGTTTGTTTCCCCACTCCTCCACATTCAGCTGCTGGTGTGACCTTGGGTCAGTCACAAGTTCTTTCAGAGCTGTTCTCTCAAGGACAGTTCTCAAAAGAGCTCTCTCAGCCCCACCTACTTCACAGGGTGTCTGTTGTGGGGAGGGGAAGGGGAAGGAGAAGGAGATTGTGAGCAGCTCTGAGACACCTTCGGGTAGTGAAGGGCAGGGTATAAATCCAATCTCTTCTTCTTATGTTACACTACCAACAGAATAAAGATGCTTCCCACGGATTGTTCTGCTACTAATAATGGGCCTAAATTGGCGATTGTGGGGGGTTTTACCTGGCAGACACTTCAGGCCTTTTGCTGCCATCCTCAAATAATTAAGAAAATAAAAGTGCCTTTGCGGAAGAAGTTTGAGAATGTGTGAGGTTTATAAGTGTGCTGGTCCCTCAGATTGCAAAAGAAAGCTGCCACAATATAGTGGCCAGTGTGCCAGTGGTAAGCGTGGCCCAGAGAGCATGTGCAAGAGCATTCTTGGTGCTCTCATTCTAGTGTGGGGGCCCATCTAGCACCTGGGTGCAGCCACCTCCCCTCTGTCATTGTGCCCTTCCCCTTTGATGAACACATATGAACACGTATGAAGCTGCTTTATACTGAATCAGCCCATCAATGTCTGTATTGTCTAAGACTGGCAGTGGCTCTCCAGGGTCTCAGGTAGAGGTCTTTTCTCATCACTTACTGCCTGATCCTTTTACCTGGAGATGCCAGGGATTGTACCTGGGACCTTCCGTATGCAAAGCCAGAGGCTCTTCCACTGAGCCACGGCCCCTCCCTTATGCATGTGAAGGCAGCTGCAGGTACGAGAGAGACAGGTTTGACAGGCAGTCCCCCCCAGTCTCTTAAGACAAGAGCCGAATGTTGTCTTGGCACTTTGGGGCAACAGGGACTTTGGTCACCAAAGGGCAGCTGGTCTTTTCGAGCCTTGTCCTGTTGCAGTGATGGAAACTTTTCTGTATTGTTAACTTCTCCAAGCGTCTTTGAGATGCAAGCCCTTCATAGGAGTCCTTTAAAGCGCCCAGGCTTCAGCCGTAGAGCAAAGCCCCTACAGCTTTCACCAGTCTCTATAATGATTCTCTTCCATTTATATGTTGGCTCGTTTTCAGAAAAGAAACCTTATCTTTCGGGCAAGAAGAGCACAGTCTTTGTGGTTAAGTACAGTTTGGACCCATGGCTCACTTTATCACGTCAGCTTATCGCTTTTAGGGAAAACTTAGTAGTGCTGTGTTGTGTTGTTAAAATTGCTTTATAAAAACATGTTCAATTTTACAGATGCCTTTGTAAATAGCCAGGAATGGACACTAAGTCGTTCTGTGCCAGAACTCAAAGTGGTAAGTAAGCTTTCAGTGTTTGCATTTCCTCTTCTGTTTTGAACTGATGTATTTTGATCCTTCAGATGACAGATGTGTTTCGCTTAGCTGTTGAAATATCATTAACTATGAAAGATCGGTCACTAAAAACATGAGAAACGTAGCCTGTTTGTGAGGGAACCTAGTTGACCGCTGCGCATATATCTACAGACGAACAGATAGCCTTCAGAATGCAGTGGGTCATAATTATGGGGGAGGAAATACATTTTCTCCTGGGTCAGAAATTAGAATAGAAGGGTTTACACGGCCTCAAGCCAGGCATTGGAGCAGGGGTGAAATCCTGTCATCTTCCCCTCCATCAGCCAGCTGTTCTTCTTCACACCGATATATGATACTTGAGTCATGATGCAGCAGGCGTCTGGGCTGGATCCGGAGCAAGGACTGTGCAAGGATTGCCATCTACCTGGCTTTTTCCTCCCCCTAGCAGTCCTTAGTAGCCCTGGTAAAGTTTATTCCCGGGATCTCGGTACCCCTTTTGCCAGCTGAGCTCTGCTTGTGGAAGAGGCAGGAAGAGAGCAATTTTTGCCCCGTTCCTCCTCTCCAGTGCACCCTCCTAAACCATGTGGCTGTTACTCTACACAGGTCCCATAACCCCAGGAATAAATTTTCCTAGGATCAAAAATGGGAAAGGGAAAGCTAGAAGACTGGTTGCCATTGGCTCCTCCTGCTGGTGGATTGCAAGATCCAGCCCATGTCTTGCCTCCTGCTTCTTGGGTCTGGAAGATGGCAGAGTATTGAAGCCCTGGGACTAAATTGTTGAAAGCCGTCCAGTTGTTGGTTTTATGTGGTTCTGGCCTTGTCAGGTGAGGACCAGTAACTTGTACCAGCACATGTTGATTTTTCTCTAAACTCTTATTTGGAAGTTATTCTGCTCTTGGCAGATTCTAAGGATATGAGATCCGGGTCAGAGGAAAAAAATTTAAATTTAATCTTAAATATCATTTTTCTCGTAACCTGAGTTTTAAATAATAGATTCCTTTCAGTACTGAGGTCAGTAATGCCAAGTTACATTGAAAGGACCCGCAAGATACTGAAAAAGATAAATGTGGTAACAAATAACATCAGTATTGTTTTATCTCTGATAAGGGTTGGAATGAAACCTTTTCCTGCCTAGATGCCATTGTGGTATTGATTGGTTGAGTCCTTATTTCAAGATGCTTTACTATTAATGACAGCATTATGAAAAAACTTACAGATTATATTTGGGGTCACTACCCTGAGCCGAATTTCAGTGTATCTCATGGTAGTAAAACGTCCCACATGCACCAAAACAACCCAAATCTGTTTCTGGTGGTTGGAATCTGTGTGTTTCACAACTTCCAAAGACTGTTTCAAACATTCAGATACTTGGTTCCTCACTTTTACCATGAGGTGGAATGATTTTTGTTGTTGTTGTTGGGATTCTCCCCTCCCTCTTTACATATTTAGTAGCTTACCCTTGTTCCATGAATGTTACTAAGCCCTCTTTCTGTGAAATGAGGAAGGGGCCGTATCTCTCGAGAGCCCTTAACAGTGCTTTCCTGGACCAGTGGTTTCTGTAGAAACTCATGAGGTATTTTTTACTTCAATATCCCCAGTATGTTTACATTGTCAAGAGTTTAAAAAAGAAAAGAAATCCCAGTCGCATCTATTAGCATTTCTTAGTGTAAAAAACGTCAGTTCTCAAAATGAGTGGCTATTTTTCTGGGGTTCTTTTATACCTGAATTGCTTTTTTGTATACAGAAAGCAGTAAGTGGCTGTACTTTGGAGACACTGGGAGAAAGTCTAAGCAGGCCTACTTGGAGGTCAGTCCCATTTTATTCATTGGGTCTCTCTCCCAGGAAGGTGCTGCCAGGAATGGATTTCACCTCAGTTGTCTGGCAAATGGTTGCCTGTAGTGTATGCTTTGTGGAACGTTACATTGCAAGGCCTTTCCTTTTCCCTAGCTGTAAACTGTGAAACTTTGTTGAATGGGCAAGATGTGGGATGTGGGAAAGGCTGTTTAGTCAGGAGTTGGCCATAACTGGCAAGGCTGCAAGTAGCCTCCTTCAGTATTTTAAGATTTTAAGTTCGTGGTAAAAAATTTAAGTTGTAAACTGCAAAGTGTTAAACACCTGTCCCATACTTGAACTTGCCCTCTTGTCCAACAATTAGAGCCACAATGGGTGCGTTCAGACGCGGCGTTTGCAATGGTATAGGTTCCGGTTGCAATCAGTGTACTTACCGGCGTTCACACGTAGAACATCTGCCTTCCGTCCCTAACCGTTGCAAAGCCCTTTACACCGTTGTACTCTGCCACTAGGTCCCCAAGTGGTGGTATCCTGAGTACAACGGTTGTAATCGCTGTACCCCCGTCTGATCGCTCTCCACCGTTCCAGAGCCACTTCCGTTCGGAAGCCTGAGGCTTCCGATTTTCGCCCACCATTTTTTTTTGTTAGGTTGCTGATACGTGCTTGGGCGAAGCTTCGCCCCGGCGTTTGATTTTTTTAAAAAGAAAAGGCCCTTAGTTTAACTTTCCGGAGTAGTCTAGGACTTTAGGGAGGCCAGTTTGGGCTTTAAACTTTAAAGGTAAGTCCTTACCTTTAAACTTTAAATGTAATACGGGGTGCTTTGAGCATGGGCAAAGATCGCCATTCTGTGGATGGCTGCCTATGCGCATGCTCAAATTGAGTTAAAAAAACCAACGCCGACGCCCACAGCATGTGAACAGGCATACAGCGATGGGCTCCGCTGTGAGGGAGGTAAGTGTGATCGCGTTTCAGCCGGCATAAACTGCACCGGTTCCAACCGGTACAGTTTATGCCAGCTGAAACGCCCCGTCCGAACACACCCAATGAGAGGAAAGAGAAGAGATTAGAGGAGGTATATGAGGTGGGGAAGGTGGTGTAGAAGCAAAATGGATTTGCCTCAAGTACGTACATAACATATGTATGTGATGTCAAGTCACAGTTGATTTATGGCAACCGCAGCAAAGGGCCCTTCAAGGCTGATGAGAAGCAGAGGTGGTGTGCCATTGGCTTTCTCAGCAGAGCTGTCTTTGGCCGTCTCCCGTCCATGTACTGACTCTGCTTAGTTTCTGAGATCTGAAGAGATTGGGCCATATCATGCCGCCTTCCGTCCAATCTCAAGGGCATTCAGTACTCAGTTGCATATATTTCTAAAAATTGCTGACCAGGTATGCCCATACTTCTCACTTGCCATGTGCCTAGCTTGTATTTAACTGCTTAAATTGAGAATGCTTTCCACCTACGCCTCTATGGGTGGGGCTCGTGCCAGTTTGCCAGAGAGTCAGTTTGGTGTAGTGGTTAAGAGCACAGACTCTAATCTGGGAGAACTGGGGTTGATTCCCCACTCCTCCACATGCAGCTGCTGGTGTGACCTTGGGTCAGCTACAGTTTCTTTCAGAGAGATGTTCTCTCATCATTCCTTGAAAGAGCTCTCTCAGCCCCATCTACCTCACAGAGTGTCTGTTGTGGGGAGCAGAAGAGAAAGGAGATTGTAAACTGCTTTGAGACTCCGAGTGAAGGGCACGGTATAAATCCAATCTCCTCTTCCTTCATGCGACTTCCCATTTCTAGAGAATAAGATGTTTATAGTAGTTGCCTTAAAACAGAATTTTTTGGCTTGGGCATAAAGCTCCAAATGTCATGAACAATACCTAGTATTATGTTAGTGACACAGACTAGGAGAGAGTAATTCAGAATGAAGTTGATCTGCTTCTGTCTTTCTTGCCAGATGCCCATCACCTGAGTGTGTCAGATCATGTACAGTTGTCTCACGCAGATAGAATAATCTCTCTGATGTCTAGTATTGTCCCATCAGTTCCAGTCTGAAGAATCTGTCAGGTATCCAGTGAATTCTCAGGACAATCTTTTTGCAGTTTTAGATCCAAAGAGACTTGTTAGTTGGTTGGTTCTTCAGGATTCGTTCCATTGTTTGAGGCCTGTATTTGCAGTCCAGCCTCTGTGTTCTGTTCACGGCATAGCCTGTCAGGAGCAAGTCCTGGAACTGTGCTGTGATGGGAGTAAAGTTGTTTGTGTGCCCTTTTCAGCTTAAGGTGTGACAGGAGGTCTTGAAATTCTGATACAGCTGACGTTTCAAGACCAAACTTAACCCGGAGTTGGTGTTCTAAGTTATGAATGTTGCCAAAAATGCAGTAGAATAGGTAGATGCAGGTTGTTTTGGCAGTCGACAAAATAATTAATGTTCTCCTTTTCGGCTATCAACAGAGGTGGATGTCTGAGACCAGCTTATTTATCTTTTTACTTGCTTCCTTCATACTTCACATTTCTCACCCACGGGGGACGCAGAGCAGTTTACATTGTTCTCCTCCACAACCCTGTGAGGTGAGGTAGGTTAGGCTGAGAGTGTATGACTGGTCTGATGTCACCCAGTGAGCTGGCTTAGTCCTAGCTGGCATGCCGCCCTAGTCCCAAGAAAGGATTGGGGTGTGTGTGTGTGAATAGTTGTTCCTAGCTTGCCTGAGAATGGTTGCAAAGCTTGAACTGCCCTCGCTTTTAGCAGCTATCATCCGGCAATCTACAAAATGGTCTGAAGCATTTTGTTGTGGGTCCAAACTTGTTCTATTTAGTATAGTATGTCTTTGGCCCCCATATCTTGCTGCTGTTCAGATCATCTATGCGATCATTCCCAATGGTTTTTGTTTTTGTTTAAATTATGTTCTGGGACGTGTCCTCAGTAGAAGGCACAGTGGGGGTGGGGGTGGTTCTGACACCCAGACTCAACTTTGCCCTGGTCTTTCTTGTTTCTCTTCCTCTGAACTTATATTGAAAGGGGAAAGAGTTTATGGCACCTTACTCCTGCTCCTTCCACTGGCTCCTTTCTACGCAACCAGAACCATGGAAACCATCTGTCCTTCCCAGCCCCCATCCCACTCCATTTTAAGGGAGCTGTGCACTCGACACAGGCCTTGTTTGCTGGCCTGGCCTTCCTTGGGAACTCCTGTTCTTGCGAGAGATTCTGGAGAGGGCTGTGGGGACAGTTGTCGTGACAGTTGCCTGAATAGGTGATGGCCTCTCTTCTGGCCTCAGGAGCCGTATAGAGGACATTGCTCATCAGTGCCAATCTTCCCCCGCGGTGTGGAAATGCGTGTCTTTTGGTGCACTCAGTTCATGTGGGTTGACAGTGTGCCTAAGCAAGGCCTCAGGTAAGCTGTGCCTGCACCCTGGAACATGCCTCAGAATTCTCTGGAATATGCTGTTGTTCCATGGCAGACAAGACAGTTGGTGAATTCTTGGAGGGTATGAAAGTGTCCTCTGAAGGTTGGAAATTCTGAATAATATTTCTACAGATTGGATATTGTTTTAGTTTCTTAATCAGTTGGGACCTCAGAAGGTCCCAAATGTAGAGGCTCTCTTAACCTTCATTTAAGAGATTGGTAACTGCTGCAGTATTATGTGCTTTATACTCATGTTTTATATTCATTTTGTTTCTAGGATTATGTAAAAGCAACAGTCCTTGGTATGAAATCAGCCCTTTAATTTTCAGGATTGTGCATGTGCAGGGCTATTTTTGGGCAGGAACACACAGGAACGAGTTCCGGCTGGCTTCCAAGTTGGCCACACCCAGCAGGAACTCATTAGCATAATAGGCCACACCCAACAGCAGAAACTCATTAGGATTGGCTACATTAGGGGTGTGTGGCCTAACATGCAAAGGAGTTCCTGCTACAAAAAAGCCCTGGGTTTTGACAGCAAACAAGGTAAACAGAATAACAAGCAAAAGGTGGGTGTGGCTGGATGAGCACACTTCTGGTAACATGGGGATGTGGCCTATAATGCCAATAAGCTGTGCTGTCAGGGGTGTGGCCTAATATTCTAATACGTTTCTGCTGGCCTAATATTCTAATATGTTTCTGCTGGGCTTTTTCCACAAAAAAAGCCCTGTGCATGTACATTCCCATTTTGTTGAGAATGACCTACCTTTTTTGTAATCTGCCATTAGATTCCCTTTTTCTGTGGATTGGCAAAATGTGTTTGAGTTCTAACTAGAGATATTAAAATCCTGGAAATTATGAAGCCATGGGGGGGAAAGTAGTTTACCCATCTCCAGGAAAAAAAATGAAATTTTGTGAAAATAATTATGCAGTACTTATTTTCCTAATAAACTTAAACTTATTGTTACTGATTTAACAATATAAAAGGGACCATTTATAATTTAGCTTATAAAATTATACTTTTTGGCATATTTATGGAAATTAAAAATATAAACGTCTTCGACTAGCATATTTGGATGTCAGTTTATTGACATCATGGAAACCCTGAATCCTTTAAAAATGTATTATCATTAAATACATTACAGCATATTAATTACTACCATAATTGTTCACATTTGAACAATAAACATTTTTGAACCTACTTTGTTTATGTGTATACACAGGAATTATCATTATCTAATGTTGTAGATTGCTTCATATATGTATTTGTATACTACACATTATACGTCAAACTTGGCCATAGAAAAACATTTCACTCATTCCAAATGGAAAAATTCATAAGAATTTTTTCAGTGTTCCTCAAAAAATTTTCAGTTTTATCTGTTAGAAAAATTGAAGAGTCCTCAGATCTTTTTGTACTATGCAATTTGAATGAGCAAAACCTTGTCTTAAAAAGTATTTCAGACATTTAAAAAGAAAAAAAATGGTCAATAGGAGGTTTTTTTCCCTGGTACTCCCCCAAATTTCCCAGTTTTTCTTTCAGAAAAATTGAGAAAAAAGTTCTTGGAAAAAATGGAAACAACTGATTTCCCCCTCCCCTTTTCCACTGGGAATTGACATTTCTAGACTGAATAGAACTTGTGGTGAGGCTAGTAGGTCCTGACAGCATGCTATAATTTTAAAAAACTCTTTTGTGCAGGGTGTACACCTTTACTATTGTTGTCACCCGTCAAGAGGCTCTGGCCTTCAGGTTTTCCTGTCACTTTCCTGCTGCTTAGGCATTTTAATTGTGGTCAATTGTAGTCATTGTGTTGTTTAGAAACTTGACAGACGTTTCTGACAGAATTTGGGCTTCTTTATTTTCTTGTGAATTATTGCCCTTTCTAAGTTTTCCTTCTTGAGGGTTGATAATACTGTTCTCTCAGTGGTATATTTGCTTTCTCTTTTTCCTCATAACTTTTCCTCTTTCCTCAGCACAGCTGTTAAGAATTTCTCTGTGCGTTGCTGTGGATATTTACATTAAAGGCCCTTTCTAATTGCGATTTCCATTTTGTACACTCTGTTTAAAAATAATTATAAAATAACTGTTTTGGTTGTCTGTCCTCATACACACACGCTAAATTTAACTATGTTGATACTGCTCTCAGGGATTCAGTTTGCAGTTAGCTTTTGTCAGTTCCTGTGTTAATCTTAGGCTTAATTGAAGGGTTGTGTTGTGATCAGAAATAGCTGTTCAAGGAAGCAGCTTTAATTACGTACTCTGAGGTACAGATTTCCTGTAGTGCTGTAAAACTTTATTTAATTAGAAGATTCTTTAAAAACACTTTTATGAACAGTACCGTATTTTATAAGTATAAAAATATAAAGTATAACTTTAGCTTATTCAACAATCCTCCATACATTGAAACATCAATTTCCACACATGAATACAGTTAATGTTTTTCCTTTTAAGCAAGATGTTAAATAGACCATTAGAACCCTCCAAATCTTGGGAACAAGATTTTTTTAAGCGTCTGTGAATTCAGTGTATTATTAAGTTGCCATTAAAACCAATGTGCATATTCTCGGTGTATTTTTGATCATCTTTTCTATCTGATGTCTTCTTAATGCATTACTAAGGCTTAATTTGGTTTGTAAAACTATGAAACAATTAACCTTATCTCTTATTTCCACAGGGCATTGTGGGAAATCTAGCTAGTGGTAAATCTGCCCTTGTGCATCGGTATCTAACTGGGACATATGTCCAGGAGGAATCACCAGAAGGTACAATGACTGACCATCCGTTGGAAGCATGTTCTTAACTGTTGTTCTTATTTCTGTACATGGGCAGTTGGTGGTAGTCAGCCGTGCTGTATTAGCATGGAAAATCAATTGTTCAGGATATTGTATTAGATAGAGATAAGTAAAAAGTAAAGCTTTAAATGCTTGCTTTAACATAATCTTAAAAAGGCGCAAACAGGTATGTTGGTACCTTATGTTGTTTCAGAAACCACATCTTGTCACAAGAGCTCTTTTTGAAAGCTAAAATGACAGAATATTTGGGAGGGTTTTTTTTTTTTAATCTCTTCTCTCTCCCTTCCCTTTGTTTGTAAATTCTTTACCCAGATGGGCAATTTTCCTAATTTGGTTGCAGAATTGACTTCTAAGCTCTTTGACAGAATAGCTGTAATTGCACTGTGTTGTTAGTGTCTCATGTGGTGGCACTGAAGAATATACTTTGAACACCACTTCTTGCCTGTTAGTCTGATTTACGATGCTTATTGTGCTAAATTAGAGAGGATTATTTTACAAAAGAAGCTGTAGAAACAATGTGTATCTGAAACATATGTAGGATTTTTAATTGAATTCAGATGAATAAATCAGTGACAGATTTGAGATTGTTATGAATCGTAGCATCATCTTATTCACATTCACTAAAATTAATGTCCTGATTATTTTTATTCTCCTTATGAACTTTTAAATCCCACTGAGACACTGAATTTCTGGTTCCTTCTTTTCCTTACTGGCTGTTCCATTCTTTGCAGATATGGATGCAGGTAACTATGTGTTCTCTTCATAGCAGCTCTTGTTTTGAAGAGAGGAAGCCCAGCGTTTGCTTTAGTTTCCCCTTGTTTTATGTGTCATCTTGTTTTATTTTTAAGTTATAAAAACATCTCACTCTTGTCACACTGTAGACGTCTCTTAGCAGTAGTCCGTATGTAGATCCATGTGTTTGTAACCAACATCTGTTCGAAATTAACACTGCCCAGAATGCTCTTATGCTAACAGTATTTCAGTGAGCTCACAGAGATCCTCTGGTCTTGACCAAGGGCCCACATCCCGCCTCTCCTCTCACCCAGAGGAGTTGCGCCTCAGCTCAATTTGTCCTTGGCATCTGCGGCCTACCTAGAAAACCTGGAGTGGGGGGTGGGAGCAGGCCTGTAGCCAGGATTTTTAAAAAAAATTTTTTGGAGGGCATTTAAGTTTCTAAGGGGGCTGTTAAATTACAGTTAATTAAATTAATCTGGATGCCTGTCTTTAAAAGGAGAGGCTCATGGGAATGCTTCTGAAAGACTCACCATGATCTAGGTGGTGTACAGCAGGACTGGGCTAGCAGAAAGGGAGATTGTTGGAGATGTATTGAAGTTGCCACTCTTGAGTGCCCTTCTGAGCTTTCTTGCCCTGTGGAAGGGAACTCAAAAGACATTAAAATGTCTTCTGAAGGCCATTAAATGCCCTGTGAGCTGCCTTTTCCCATGTTCCATGATTGCCCCCCCCCCCAATTCCACGGTGTGAGGGAAACCTGAGGGCAAGCCACGGTGCTCTCACCCTAGCTGCTGTCAGCAGCAGGGGTGTGTGTGTGTGTGTCCTTAAAAATAAGGTTTCTAGCATAGCTATTTGTGGGGCAGGGCTTTTAATTAAGGGAGCAGGCCCCCCAAAAGAACCACTGTAGCTACAGGCCTGGGTGGGGGATGGAGCAAGGCCTTATTACTGACCAGTGAGCGGCCAGTCTTCTTGGTAAGAGTAGCACATACTATGTAGCCTGTCTCTGCCACCATGCATCAAGCAACACAGCTGAAGAGGATGCTGGGAGCGTAGGCCTGACTCTTCCACACTCCGTCCCCAGGCTCTGCTGCTGCTGTGGCATGGGTGCCACCGGGGCATCTAATTAGATCCGTGTCTGTGGAACCTATACTAGCCATGTCAGATTTCATGCCCTTTAATCATGCCAAGGTAACATACCCAGCATGAAATACAAGTTTGTATTTGATAAATGTATCTCATGACGTGGGCACTGGCTCACCAAAGCTTCTGCCACAATACATTAATTAGTCTTCGGGGAGCCATGAGACTCTGGGCTCTTTTGGCCTTCAACAGTCTTCTCCTTCTCTTCCTCCTCCTCCTCCTGCTCCCCCCCCCCCCGAGAGATCATGAAGGGGGCACTGTACCTAGGATGCCATATAGTCTGTTGGCCACTCACTGGCAATACACAGAATAACAATTTTATGTGAATGTGCCTGTTAGTTGGATGATCTTTTGGCAAGCGATTTGTTCTCGTTGAGTAGGTTCCCAGAATGTTCTCACGAGATATTGGAGTTGGAGGAGCTCTATTTTTCAGTCTTTTCCTGTTGAGCATCCTAAATGTTCTTTTCATCACGAAATCAAGAAAGTGTGTCCCAGCAGTATGAAACTTGGCATGAAGAACCTTCCTTATGCAGTGGAGGGAGTACAGTTATACCAGATTTCAGAATAATAAATTTGGAGTTTCACACTGCCAGTTTAAATCAATAAGAACTAAAGGATGGACACATTATTCAGCACATATTCTTTGAGGGGAAGAGTTAGCAATTGCACGAGCAGCATCACGTTGGTGGGCGTTTATGGTAAACTCTTCCTCCATTAATCAGCTTAGACACTCCTCATTCCTATAAAAAATGTGGGGCAGCACACAAAGATTATTATAGCTGCAGAGCCCAATCCTGGCCCTTTTAAACTGTTTCGTGAGCCTAAATCTGTGCCTGGGTATGACTCCTTTCTACTCCTTCATAGTAGCAATACTCTCCTCTGGATCAGCTGCTAGCTCCAGAGGACCTCTGGTCCAAGGTGGCATCCATGCCATCTTGATCCCGTTGTCCTCCTTGGGATGTCTTTTCTTTTCCTTGCGCCTCTGTTTCACTTTTCTACTTATTCCCATACTCTTCCTCCTCCACAGGCCTGTAGTTACAGTGGCGCTTTTGGGGGCTCTTTCCTCTTTCTTAAAGGCACAGCCCCACAAGAATTTCTCCTGTAAATGCTTTTTTTCAATAATTTTAAAAACATTTTTAAAAGGCGTGTGCTCCTTTAACAGAGTAGGGTGCTGTAGTTGACTAAGTCCCGCACTGAGCAAGAGGGTTGGAGTGGGTACCTCTAGGATCCCTTCTAACTCTGTGTCATGAAACTGGTCTCCTTTAAGAGAGTCTTTCTGCCTAAGTGTTAGCTTTCTTGACTATAGAAGTCATCACCCCCACTTGCCAGCTTATTATCAGAATTGCTGCTTAAGCAGGCAGAAGTGATTAACTTGCAACAGCTGAGAACTGTCATCTAAAGTGGTTGACAGCTGACAGTTTAGAGATCTATCCTGGTAACAGCTTTCTATTGGCTAAATGGCTTTTCTTTCTGCTCTGAGAACTTCACCTCCACCAGAAAAAGATTTGCACCACAAACCACAAAATCCTGGCTACAGGCCTGCTCCTCCTCCTTTCTCCCCTGCCCCCTTCTAGGTTGCCCAACCCAGCCACCTGGAGTCCTTCCCTGGTCCGTTTCCCTTCCTCTTTCAGCCACACGGAGAGGAGAGGACAACATCTAAGTCTAACGTTATGCTGTTGAATCACAGCCCCTTACCCCTGCCCACCCCAGTGAATTTGTCAGGACCTTTGTTTCAGAGCCTTCGCTGCATTGTGCGGCAGTCCCACGAAAGCACGGAAGGTACAGCTGGGTGAGTGGTGTGCTCCCACGCCACTCTTGGTTTCAGTGTTGTGTCTCATGCTGTAGAGGCACAGAAAGAGCCGTATCTGCGGCCTGCACTGACTGAGTTCAAGTTATAGGGGCAAGGGTGGGAAAGAAGGGAAGCTGAGCTGAGGCAAGGAGGATAGAGGAAGAAGAGGAAGGACGTGCAGGGGTCAGAGGTGGTGGTAGAAAGTTCTGTCAAGTTGTATCCAACGTATGGCGACCCTGTGCGGTTTTCAAAGGAAGAGACATTCAGAGGTGGTTTGCCATTGCCTGCCTCTGCTTTGTGTGACCTTGGTAATTCCTCGGTGGTCTCCCATCCAAATACTGACCAGGGCTGACCCTCCCTAGCTTCTGAGATCTGATGAGGTTGGGTTAGCCTGGACCTTCCAGGGACAGAGAGAGGACGAAGGCCCAGGCGACCTGTGCTGAGGGAGGGAGGGAGGCTGCTAATGGCAGAGTAGCCCTCCCACATAGGTTAGAATCAACGAATCAGACCACATCTGGCTTCCTGACAGCGCCTGAATGTTAGCTTTCCTAGTCTTACTTTTAGCTAAATATAAACAGGATTTTTTTTTTTTAGAATGCTTCATCGTTGCAGATTATCATGAGTAGTTTGGGCTTGGATTTGTCTGTATAACCGCTCCAGCTGTTACGTAAAGGGTCGAGTGAATCTTTGTTTGCTAAACATCCCCGCTGGCTTTCCTTTCCTCCTGTTCCATGTTGGCCGATGTTCTGCCTCCCCTGCTCCTTTTCTGTCTTGGTTTCGTGTACTGGGAAGATGCGTTTTTCTGACCAAGGCGTCTTACAGTGGATGTTGCTTTGCACAACGTTTTTCTTACCTGGAGATAATTTCAGCCTATTAGAAGTGGAACGTGTGGTGCCTAAGTGTGTTGGCATAGAGAGAATAGAGATAGGTACTTTTTTGCTTTCAGAAGCCATGTAAAATATAAGGAAAATATAATTAAGTATGTTGTGGAGTTTCTTAATATTTCTGTCTATGGGAAATGCAGTGTGAAACTGAGGGTTGGGGAAGTTCTAGACCAAGACAGGTTCAGCTAACCCCATGCCGCTCCCCAGTTGATAATGAGAAATGGCTGCATTTGACAACCCTCTCCTGAAATTTTGCATTTCATTTTTTGATATATGTATTTTATTTTTAAAAAAACACAAAATAGGGGTACAGAAAGAAAAAAAGGGAAAGGGGGCAAAAGTTTTAAAAAAGAATTTAGAATACATATTACAAGGACTATCCAGAATATAATAAATATATAACATTTTAAATACGTATTTCAAATATACGGTATATTTATAATATTCAGAATTATTTTCAGTCTTGATTAAACTTGGTATTGGATCGATAAATATTTAACAAACTATGTGAACTAACTGGCTTAAAATCAGGATATTTTTAACAATAACTATCAGATATTGAAAATTTGGAATTATCATAACAATATATTCTTGAATACTTTTAAAGAATTAACATATCTTATACACTATAATTGCTGTAAACCTATAGTAAAAAAGCAAGTGATGCATTTTAAAGATATTTCAAAAAAGTATAGTAATAAGCTAATAAGCTAAACCTACATCTTAAATTGATTATATCGAAGAAATTATATAATAAAATACTTACACACTGGGATTCGCCTGAAGTGTCCTAACCTTTCAGTCATTTTGAGCTGAGCAGCAGTTTTAAAACACAGGAAATCAAATGCCTACTATAGGTCAGTCAGTACTTCTCAGAAATAACAATGGCAGCAGTTTGAAAGATGCCTGCAGTAAGCTTTCTTAATTTCATTACCACCACACATTAGGATATAGGGATTTTAAATGGGCAAGGCATTCCTCTAGCAGTTCATCAGTCCCAGGAGGGCTCCTGGTTTAGAATACTAGGGCAGCAATCTTTTCCTTACTTTCCCCTGCCTAGACTCTTGATTCATGCCTTCGCCAAATCGCAAGCACCTGCTGCTGTGCAGATGTGGTAGATTTCATCTTCAGTGCTGTGCTTGCAGTCTGAGGATAACAACCTGGAGTAGGTATCGGCAGGTCTAATTAAAAATCCTGTATAGTATGGTAATACACTTCTGCATCTATTCTCAGTATCAAAATCATTAGACTTTCTTCTGTCATCATTGGTTGCAACTTTAATTAAGCCTTCAAATGATGCAATAATGCTTTTTCCTATGTAAGGAACATTTATAATTAATTTGATGGATCTGATAGCTCAAGTGAAACATTCAACATTCATTAGGATGTTCACTGGCAATAATATTGAGAGGAGGGATACATATTCTTGTCTTGATTTTAGTTATTAGTGACATGATGTGGCTCCACTGCCTGACTGTAAATCCTTTTTTGGGGAAATGCCTCTCCATCAAAGCTCTGAGTGACTTAGCATGAGTAGATGCACACTTCAGTGACATGAAAACAGACTTCCTCAGACTTCGCAAACCTTTTCTTGTGCACAGACAGCCCCCCAATCTTAAACAACTCCTCGTCCACAATAATGCAGCATCTGATTTGAACATGGACATTGGTACCAGAGCTTGCAGTAAACCCAGATGCAAACTTTGCTGCCACATACATCCAGACAACACAATCACTGGACCAAGCAACATCCAACTACACCATCTCAGGCTCATTCACTTGCTCATCTTCTAACACTGTATATGCCATGAAATGCCAACAATGCCCTTCCATTTTCTACATAAAGCAAACAGGTCAAACCCTATACCAATGGAAAAATGGACACAAATCTGACATCAGGAATCACAAAATTGAGAAACCTGTAGGAGAACATCTCAACCATCCATTGCACTGTTTTATTGCAAAGGAATTTCAGAAACAGATTGGAGTGGGAGATTGCTAAATTATAAGTTATCACAACTTTCAGGACAGTGGAACCTCCAGGGCTTAACAGAGATATTGGGTTCTTATCTCACTACATATGCTAACTTGCTCAGTTCTTGCTTATACCCTGAATTAAAGTTTTTTGGTCCTAAAAGGTGCCACTGGACTCAAACTTAGTTCTCACATCCGTTTGTTAACTCATTTGTATGCTAATTTGCTGCTTTTCACAGATCTTACCAGCTGCTTTAATCCCACCTTAGCTATACTTATTGCTCAGTTACTTATGCATCTTGACTCTAACCAGTCCTTCCTGGCAACTATCCCCCCCACACCTATATGTAAGGCTTGAGGAAGTCTGTTTCAGTGTATCTGAAGTGTGTATGCACACAAAACCTTATACCCAGAATTAATCTTTGTTGATCTTAAAGGTGCCACTGGACTCAAACTTTGTTTTGTTGCTTCAGACCAATACGGCTACCCACCTGAATCCATGTATCTTTATTTCGTTCTTTCTCAGTAAGGTGCTACTGCTTACAGTTTTTGCCATACAGGTAGAATTGTTACTGGGGATCTAGCTTTGAACAGTAGATTGAGAACTTGTTTTAGTTGCTAAAGCCAGGAGGCAAACGAAAAATCTCTTTGTGGCCGTAAAGAACAAGGAATTTGCCACACAGAACATGTAACTTCTTTTACAGCACAGTAGCAAAAAAATACTTCATTGCATTTAAGCTGTTTCTAGAGAGCCCGGCTTGTGGAACTCACCTTCCCAGTTCAGCTAGTATACCAGAGTCAGTTTTTTTTTCTGTGGCTTGTTTGCCCAGGCATTTCTTTTTTGCTTTCTTTTTGTCATATCTCAGAATATGTGGCACAATTTAATTTTTTTAATTGTAGCGTTTTGAAAAGGGTACAATGAGAGGCAGCTCCAGATTTCCCTGACAAAGTTGATCCCAGTCAGCATGAAATAGTGTGTCTAACTGTAATGTAATATAAGCACAAATTCTGATGTGTATACTAAACATTCAATATTACCCCTTTAACTCAGCTTACGGGAAAACCTATTGAAGGAAAAAGTAGTTAGCTACTTAAGGGGTTACTTCAGTTCTTAAAGAGTGCTTAAGAAAAGTGCGAAATAGATACTGTCTAAATAGAAAATTTACTAGACTAATGAGGCTACATACTTAGTTGGGTGTAAATCCGGTTGAGGTCAACGGGACTTCTTTTATGGGTAAACATGTAGAACTTTGGTCAGTAAATTACCCTATTGGTCTTTAGAATACAAATTAAATGGAAGAGTTAAAGCCCTAGTCTTACACGTGTTAGTTCCATTTCCCTCAGCGTGGTTTGCAGTCATGTAAATATTTTTGTTACGGGGCCTCCCAGTGTGATACAAAAGCCTTCACATCTAGACAGGCAGTACTGTAAATCCATCTTGAGACCTTATAAATCCCTCTGACGTTTGTCACACCAGAAACCCTGGACATAATTTGTCATCACCTTTAGTCTTTCATGAGAAATAAATCTGGTGTCTAAAATACTGTTTGACTATAAAGAATAATAGTATCTCAGCAGCTGGGAATTTGCTGTGATTTTTTCAAACCTGAAATGTAGCTGTGAGGGAGTCCCCTGGGCCCACCGACTTTTGTTCATGTGCTAAGTACATTCCTGGAGCAAATGAAATACTTATAATTTACCAACAGAAACGACAGCACTCACTGTTCTTGTAAGTAATCTTCCTTTTGTCTAACATGTCTTGTAGCATTCCAGTATTCTACTTGTAATAGCAAGATACCAGTTTCATAGTCTGTGTTTTGTTTTATGGAACCGGGCTTCTCTTGATGAAAATTGTATTCGGCGGGGTGTTAAAAAAGATATTTAGTACACCCAGCCTGTTCTGTTAAGTTTCTGGGAAACAAGCAGTTAACTTCATTTTGGAAATTACTGTTAAATGAAGCACTGATATCAAACTAAAAATCAGATTATTTGCGTTGCATCGAGGTAACAAAATGTTGGAGCTGTGTTGCCTCATTTGACTAAATTGTAAAGGCATATCTGATAACAGCTCTCTGATACAGCAAAAAGCTTAACTACTGCTGGGCCAACCCATAGTTTAAGTCTGGGAGTGCAGCTTTCCTCAAGAAAAGTCTTTATTATTTACTGTTTGGGCTTTTTAAGCTTTTCTATAATTAGTTGTTTTGTGTGACAGGTGGAAGATTCAAGAAGGAGATTGTAGTCGATGGACAAAGCTACCTGCTGCTGATCAGAGATGAAGGGGGTCCTCCGGAGGCCCAGGTGAGCACTGTCTTGAACGCCTTTAACAGACCTAAAAAACGATGACAAACTCAGTCCGGCTGTGTCAGGTGGGGAGAGAGCTGAGCTGGATTGCCATATCCTACCGTGTTTACTGGGACTTATCTCCAAGTTGGCTATTCTGAATGTTGGGGTCTTTAAAATCACATTGAAACATAGGTAGGGTAATGTAAAGCTCGACCAGTGTAGCATCTACAACCCACCTGTCATGGTACTCTCTCTTCCCCAGACCAGTCCAGGAATGGAAAGAGAAAGACTCATTGACTGAAACGATAAATTACACAAGAACCCAGGAGAGGTAGTCTCTCTGGATTTACAGACACAGCCACCAGAACCTTTCAACTATAGTCCCTTCCAGTCCAGAGCAAGGTTCACACTCTTAACTGGCCTCTGGGACTTGATACCATAAAGTAGCTTAACTGGGAGAGCGGTTTCAGGCAACAGGATTTAAGCTTGGAGTCAAATGTACATCAATCAGACACAAGTTATAAACAGAATAGAGTTTATTTATCAGAGACTTGCAATCAGAACTAGAAAGACTTTAAAACAAGAAAAACCTATGGCCCTTGGCCCTCACTAAACATTAGAGATCTGCATAGTTACCAACTTCAGGAATCCATAGTCCAAGACAGTCCATTGTAATAAAGTCCAACTAGGTCCCATCTTTGTCCAAGGTTCCAGCCATGTGCTCAGCTGCACCAAAGAATCCTTTGTCTCCCAAAGAGCACATGACAGAGACACAGCATTTCAGGGTACATCCAAGAACAGAGAGAGAGAGCCAGAGAAAAGTGAGCTCCTCTCTAAGGGTTAGCCAATTTGAACCCCAATCTCATTATGACCGGCCCTGGCCAGTAGCCAACCACAATGAGACAGGTACTTTCCAAATTTGGGGTTGTCATGGTAAATGAGTGGGGATAGGTTGGGCCCAGGGACTATCCTCTGCCGTAAGATGATCCCCTGACCCCCTCCCATCCAGGAGGCTACGTGCGTCTCTGCCATGCTTCAGCAGAGGCATTTGGTTTATGGGGGCAATTTGAACAAATGGTCAGCCACCTGGCTTACATAGCAAGTCAGAACAACAGGGGGTACATCCCAAGGGGGGGAAACATGAAGCCTACAGACATTCTAAAGACATTCTAAGGGAGACATGAGGCCCATAGGAATCCATATTCCTATACACCACCCACGTAACTCCACCTAACAGACTTAAAAGAAAGTGATGCTTCTAAATAAAATAAATTCAGCACCCGTGAGTGAAACAGAAAAAGACGGGTAACTTTTATGTACTCCCAGGGTTAGGGGAATAAGGTGGTTTAGAAAAGAGGGAAGGGAAGCTGGGAGTCCTGACCCTTCCAGTGGGCAAGTCCTATGAAGGCCAGGTGGCAGCGGCAATTGAACAGAGGGAGAGAAAAGCCCCTCCTGGTGTTGGGAAAACCCAGGAGGTCAGGGTGGAACAGGGCCTGCTGGCCGGAGCAGAGATGAATACCGTCTCTTCCTCAGTCTAGTCTGCTTTATCACAAAACACAGATTCCATGACTTCTGAGACAGGTCACCTCACAACAAACACTCTGGAGACGCAAACCTTATGTCTATATATTCACTGGTTTATCCTGCTTACACATGAGGTGAACTCTGAGACAGGATCTTTCCAGTCTTTCTTTTCTCTGAAGGTTCAGACCCCATTTGCCTGAGTGGACAGTGTTAACCGCTTTCTCTCTCGCTCCCGCCTCCCCTCTGGCTCCTCCAGCCCTTCCAGCCCTTCCAGGGATCCTGACTAGTGGCCAGCTGCTCTGCATATACCCAAACAGGGCTAAAGGGGATTGGTGTTTTTCAGACAGGGGGCGGGACCTTTGCCCATCCATCACAGTTGTGCGCAAGACTGCAGCCTTGAACTTATGAAGGGGCTCGTACAAAGTCCAGCCAGCCCAGCTTTGTCTGTGCTGAGCAGCAGTAGGCTGGAGGGTCTTGCCCACAGATCGTTTCCTGCCATGCACCGGGAGATCCTTTTACGTAGGGATGCCGGGGTCTGAAATTGGGACCTTCTGCATGTGCTGTAAGCTAAGCCATGCCCCCCTCCCCCTTATCTGGGGAACTGGACTGTACTCCTGTGAACTCTTGTAAAAATGTGCTATAAAACCCTTCTTGTTCTTGGAAACAGTTTCAGTCCAAACCTTTTCTCATTTTGTGAGAGACATTTCCTTCGCTGGAATATAGATTCAGTGCACAGTTCTTGAGATTGTGTAAAAAGAATGTATTTGCTGACATAGAAAAACTAAGACTTGGAAAGCTACAAAATTTATCACAGCTTAACTGGTCAAAGCTACAAAATTTATCACAGCTTAAATGTAAAGAACGTTTCATGTTTTCATTAAATTAGAATGAGATCTGGCATGCTTGTGGTGCTTAAGTGTGTCGGACTAAAGATCTGGGGGACTGACCCAGGTTCAAATCACCCTCTACCATGAAAACTTGCCTGGTAGGCTTCAGCCGGCCGTCCTAACCTATCACAGGGGGTTGTTACGAGAATAGAATGGAGGAGAGGAGAATGATGTAAACGCTTTGGATCCCTGCTGGAGAGAAAGACGTGGTCTAAATGAAGTAACCAGATTTAGATAAGAGTGCAGACAGCAACCACTGAATAGTGAGTTTAATTAAGTGTGTGGACTCTAATCTGGGAGAACCGGGTTTGATTCCCCACTCCTCCACTTGCACCTGCTGATGTGACCTTGGGTCAGTCACAAGCTCTGGCACAGCTGTCCTTGAAAAAGAGCAGTTTGTGTCAGAGTTCTCTCAGCCCCCCCTACCTCACAGGGTGTCTGTTGTGGGGAGGGGAAGGGAAAGGAGTTTGTAAGCCGCTCTGAGACTCCGAGTGAAGGGCAGGGTATAAATCCAATCTCTTCTTCTTAAAAAAATGCTTCCTTTCAGAAACTGAATTAGCATAAAGTCAAGTAATTATTTTATTTCTTATTGGTAGTATTGTGGTGGGATTGGACCTTGTAGCTGGCTAGTATAAAAGAAAAGCTGTCTACCTGCCTATTACTTACAGAACTCCAGAGGGTTGGTGAGGCAGGTCTTGCCATGACTTTTCTTCCGTGGAGCTTGTTCCATTATCTCTTTCCACCAGTGTGCAGGCTTGTAGCCAGGATTTTTTGGTCTAATCTGGGAGAACCAGGTTTGATTCCCCACTCCTCCACTTGCAGCTGCTGGATGACCTTGGACAAGTCATAGTTCTGTCAGAGCTGTTCTCTCAAGACCAGTTCTCTCAGAGCTCACGGGGTGTCTGTTGTGGGGCGGGGAAGGGAAAGGAGTTTGTAAGCTGTTCTGAGACTCCGTGAAGGGTGGGGTATAAACCCAATCTCTTTTTCTCTTCTTCTCCTTTTTCTCTTCTTCTTTTGGGGTAGCCATTATGTGTCTGTCCATACACAACTCGCCCACCTCTGCCCCACAGGCAGCTCTGCACCTGGGTGTGCCGCCCGCCACCACTTATAGCCCCCCTGTGCCTCCTCACCCCAGCTGGAGAGAGGAGAGGAGAGGGGGCCTCTTTGGGGGGAGTGCGCCTGTGCCACAGACCCACCATGGCTGGAAGGCTCTGCCTTCTCTCCCCTGGCCCAGCCAGTGAGCCCACGCTAAAAAAAATGGACAGGGGTTCTTTGGCGCAGTCCCTCCATTCTTTGGCACAGGTGCCTCAAGTGGAACCCCTCTCATGGCTTTCCTTCTCTTTATCGCTCTCTCTCTCTTCAGACATCTCAAATCCTCTCAGGCAGCATGCATTTTCCTCAGCCTTGGCGCTACCTGCTGCCTTTCCCTCCACTCTGGCTGGAACGAACGCCATGCTCTCCTCTCCTCTCTCTGGCTTGCCTGCAGGGGCCTAGCCTGGCCCCTCCTCCTCCTCCCTCCTCTTTGGCTCCAGGCCTTGAGGGGCAATGCACGGGTGAGCGGGCTGCTGAGGTGAGTGGCTGCTGCACCCTCGGCCTGGCTTGGGCACCCACTTGCCTCATGGGCGGCTTTCCTGGCCGGCCAGGCAGGTGGTGTGAGTTGAGCTCTGCACAGGACCTTCTCCCTGTTGCTGCCAAACCGGTTCCCTTTGTTCTGGTTGGTGGAGAGAAGGGAGTTTGGCAAGATAATCATGAGCAGGGCGCAGTGACTGAGGACTGAAGAAGGCGGTGCAGGGCAGGCTGGCAGCCGACTAATTGCAAGGCAGGGCATGGATGCAGCGCAGCTGAATTAATCAATACACAAATGATTACTTTTTAAAAAACATGTTTCCTGGTGGAGAAACAGGTGGGGCATGACTGTAAATTAAGGGGGCATGGCCTCGAGATGCCCTAGCATAGCTACGGGGGCCCCAATGTGCCTGGAGCTGACACTAGGTTAGACAGTCGCATACTCTATCTGTATAATCTGTTACAGGGCGGGGGACAAGGGCTGATTTATTTTAGTTCCCTTCCTACATTGTTTTCTGTCTGATTTTGTCAGAATGCAGATGCAATTCTGGCTCCTTTACTATTTTCCCTTGAAGAATAGGAATGGAAACTGCATCTGTAAACAAAACGAGGGAAACTTATTGCAAGCAGAAGTGTAGCCAGAAACTGTGTCTTTTATATTCTTTCTGCCCTGTGGTTTTGGTGTTGGAAAGCGCTATCAAGTCTCTGTCGACTTAGGGTGACCCCATAGGGTTTTTAAGGGAAGAGACGAATGCAGATGGTCTGCCATTGCCTGCCTCTGTGTAGCAACCCTGGGCTTCCTTGGTGGCTTCCCATCCAAGTACTAAGCAGGGTCGACCCTCCTTAGCTTCCAAGATCTGATGAGAGTGGACCTTCCAGATCAGGGCTTTTACCACATACAGTCACACAGTTCATTGGTTTATGCTGCAGTAGTATGAGTCACCTGGTAAATTAGAATATCAAGGAGAAGGCAAGATGAGGGTCAAGGACTATGTGGATGAAGTGTGACCTCTCTCATGGTGCCGGTTGCTTGGCTTGGCTCTCCTGACACCCTGGCAAAGTTCCCTGGGCAAGGCATTGAAACTGAGTTGTCATCTGATCTCTTACACGTGTTTACCCGTGTCACCCACACTCTCCCCTCGGTTCGTGTGTCCCCTGAGTGATGCCTCCTTACCAAAGGCAGAGGTGTAAACTTGGAAACCACTAAGCGCTGACACAGAAAGGTCTCTTCTTAAAATAAAACTTATCTCTCACAAGAGTGAAAGGGGCAGAACTAATGATGAAACGCCTCTTATCAGATAATGAACATGGATTGCAAGAAATTGCAGAAGTGGATTGCGTTCTTGCGAAATAGCTACTTGGCATGAGCAAAAGCAAGAATTAACAGAGATGGCTGTGCAGCTTGCTGATACTGGACTTTGCACCAGTAGCTTCAGTGTGATTTATAAGTGTGAGACCTTATATAATATGTCAGTGCAGTCCGCTGCAAAAAGTATTCTTTCACGTCTAGAGAGTGTTATGTGCGCATGATCACTTTAATTGGCTCTGGTTGTTTCTTTAGAGGGCACGAAGAGAATCCTTTAATGAGGCTGGGTCCATTTGGCTGCCTTCCCGGGTCAACACGGCTAAGTTTGCTCTGTAAAATTGAAACAAGTTTAGCTGTCTTATCCTCTCCCTGGGGAATACATTTATTTATTTGAAACATTTTGATGCAGGCCAATCAGGGTCCTCAAGGTGGCGCACACAAAAACATTAAAACAGAGGTGTTGAACTCATTTGTTACATCTGACATAAATGTCACTTTGTTGGGCCGGGCCATGGGTGCCATAAAACGTAATGCCAGGTACCAGAGGTATAAACTGTATATAGAGGACAGCAGCTGGTAAGCTCCGAGTTGGTGTATCCTCATTGCAAGGCCTTATTGGCTGGGAGGGGAGTGCAAAGGAAAACCCATAGGGGTGGACTGGAGTGCCAGTGGTGCAGCACTGGGCAGATGTTCCCACACTGCTTGACTGCTGCAGATGAGGTTGTTCTGCCTTGCTGAAGCCATAATCAGAGTGGCTCCGCCCACTCCCCCACCAAGCAGTCTCCTGTTCCCCCCCCTTGCATTAGTTGCTCGCAGGCCGCATGAGAGCCCTGGACGGGCCAGTTCCAACCCCCGGGCCTTATGTTTGACCAGGGGTCATTTAGTAGAAAAAGAGCTAGGGGGACTCATTAGCATAACTCATTAGCATATGCCACACCCCCTGACATCACCAGAAGTGTGTCCTCCCCACAGCCGGCGGCGACCTCCAGCGGGCACCAGCAGGGAGCTCCAGGCCCCGCCCTCCTGCACCTCACCCGGGGGGATGGCGTCCCCCCGCGTCCCCCCCAAATGACCCCTGTGTTTGACACCCCTGCATTAAAACATTTGAACAATTAAAAGCAGCAGTCATAGTTCTAAAAAAATTCAATAAAAACACATAAAACCAGAACCAGTAAGGAGGGCCAATAGCTCTCATAGGGGATATGCCAAATGAAAAGAGAAAAGTCTTCACCCGCTGGCAGAAGGCACAATTTGAGGGAGACAGATTAAATTCCCTGGGGAGGGAGTTCCAGAGTTATGGTGCCGTGATTGAGAAAGCCCTCTCTTGGGTTGTCTCGCTTCAGATGATGGGAAGAACGGAGTCTGGGCCTCTGAAGAGGACTGATGTGAACCGATAGTTTGTGAGAACTGTGAAAATCTTCTTGACCTTTCTATAAACACTGTCTCTCTCGGGACTTTGAAATGGAAGCATTGATCGTTTACCCCAATTTAACGTTTTATGCAGTGATTACAGTGTCAGGTTGCTCTAGAGTGGAGGAGTGAGTGACGTGGAGCACACCTTGTTGTTTGAGGGGGAGCCCAAATACTCTCCTGCTGGACCTTGTTTGGCTTGTTGAAGCAGTAGCTTATACATGCTGTCGTTGGCAAGAGAAGAACAGGAAGGACCAGACAGTGATTCGTTATCGTTGGCTTGACATCTGCCTTGGCACCAGAGGTAGCGTTACACAAGAGCACTGCTCTGTGCCCCTATATGAAGGCACAATAGAACTGGCAAGCAATGTTCTCGGTTCCCGATTTTGAAATGTAGCCATTTGTTATGGAAAACTTGAGGTCACTTTCCAGGGATTTCTAGATATGTAAACGCCACCCCCCCGGGGGGAATCATCCAAGGCCAACTGTAGTATCGGTGGCTTAATGGTAAGTGATACGTGCTTTAAACCTTCTTTGTTTGGTAAATTGAAAATCTGATTGGCTATTGCGATTCTCACTCTTCTGCAGTTTGCCATGTGGGTGGATGCTGTTATATTTGTCTTCAGCCTGGAGGATGAAATTAGCTTCCAGACTGTGTATCACTACTACAGCCGTATGGTGAACTATCGCAACACTAATGAAATCCCAATGGTGCTAGTGGGAACTCAGGGTAAGTGGTAGCGCTGCTGAGCCACGCGTTTGTTCTTTCAGATTGTTCTGTTTAATTGTTTGGGCCATGGGTCCCCAGTGTGCTGCCTGTGGGCGCCATGGTGCCCATCAGCATCTTTCCAGGTGCCCTCCAAGTATTTCTAAGTTGGCGCGGCTGGGGGGGGGGGGCTTTTGTGTAGCAGGGCTTCTACACAAGCAGAGCAGCTGCCATCACAGCTCAAGGATTTGTGACTGAAGGTAAGCCGTAGCGGTCATTGTATGTCTGGCTCCGCCTCTTGTGGCAGCCATTTTGTGGCTGCACCCACCACACTGTGTCATAATTCCAAAGGTGCCCACAGGCTCAAAAAGGTTGGGGACCCACCCTGAGCTGGATAGCCCAGGCAAGCCCAGTCTCGTCAGATCTCGGAAGCTAAGCAGGGTTGACTCTGGCAAGTACTTAGATGGAAGACCTCCTTGGAATACCAGAGGCGGGAGGCGGGGGCAGGCTTTATTCAGCCACCTCTCTGAATATCCTCCAGGCCCCCAGTAGGGGTCAGTCACCAGAGGTCACCATGACTTCCAGGTGCACACAGAGTCAGTCACCAGAGGTTGCCATGACTGCTAGTTGCACACTCACATGCACACACATACACACATGCAGGTATTTAAAAAATACCAAAAAAAGTTGGGGACCCCTGGTTATTGCCATAATTGGTCTTTTTAAGAGAAGCATCAGGACAGATGTGACTGTAGAGACATCTCACCAGGCCAAACCTTCTTGAGACACTGATCATCTTACGCATATCATCAACCCCTCCAATGCATAGGTCTTTGAGCAGGAAGCACAATCTAAATGAAACACAGAGACAACCATGTGAAAGACAGGACTGAAAACCTGCCAGTTCACCCAAAGGGAGAGCCCCACGTGCAGGAGGGCTCTGCTTCCCGTGCTAGTGGGCTGCTGGAGACTCAGGTTGCTTGTTCTGGTACTAAAGGGCTCATGCTCAGTGTTTTGAGTCATTAGTCCTAAGTAGCTTCTCCAGTGTTGCAAAAGGTCTCTTTGATGTTTCAGTTGACCCCTGGGTAAAACTTCCATCTCTCCTTATATATAATAATTGAATAGTGGGTGCCAAAGTTCTAATTCTAAAATGCACTCCCTTAGTGTATGGCTGATGGCACTGCTCCTCAGCATATATCGCCACCAATCAGAAGGCAAAGCCCGGGTCCCGCCCACACCACAACTGCTGCGACAACCTGGTCTTTTGCATATGGAAGCTGATTGGACTTCAGTCCATTCCACACCTCAAACTCCCCCCCCCCCGCAAGGCAATTGGAATTTTCAGTTGCATAACATACCTCATAGGGGAGAGGAGAATGGGTAACAATGGTTACCACTCTCCAGGTGAGGGCTACAGATAACTCAAACATACAAATGCTCTTCAGGTAGCAGAGATCAGTCCCTCTGGAGAAAACAGTGGACTCTGTCATTAAACCCTGCTGAGATCGCCACAGGAAACTGACACTGTTTGCCCAAAGCCAGAGCACTCTCCCAGAGCCTCTTTCTAAATCCCGTTGTATTTATTTCCACAACGGGCCTTATTTCTAGTCTTCTATAAGTAAGATGGAGGCAGTGTATCAGGCAGTGTATCAGGCAGTGTATCAGGTGAGGTCAGATAACCAGGCTGGGAGGAAACTCTGTGCAATAGGAAACCTACTCCTTGTCAGCATTTAAAATATCTGATTATCAAGCTATTATGGGCTGATTGTGTTTCTTTGGGAGGTCATGTCCCAGTATTTAGATTCAGATCCTGAAGGGGGAAAAAATTAGCAGAAGTCTCACAGGCTGAAGCATCAAATACTGTTAACATGCCAGATGGTATGGTTAGAAATCTGGCTACAGGGATTGCCTTGAGGCATGCCTGGTTGAGAGCTGCAGCTCTCCATGAACAGACGAAAATAGCATGGAGGACTTCCCTTTTGAGTAATTTGAATTGTTCAGTTTCCAGATAGATGAAGCATTAGAAAAAATATATATTTTCACAGGTCTTGATCAGTATCTGCTCCTCAACTTGCAAGTCACAGTGCTTATTTGTATAGAGATTTCAACGGGGGTAGCTTTGTTGTTCTGCTACAGCAAAAACAAGGAGGGAGACCCACAGTTTCTCCCAGCGTAAGCTTTCATGGATCCATTTTGACTGATGCGTGAAGATGATCCAAAGTTGGAAGGCATTTATGTATGGCAGTAGGGGGAAATAGTCATAAACAGCAGGAAGAAAAACGTATTATGTGTGACGACAACATCTCAACATGGCCAAATCTGTGGTTACTTAAGTCTGGAGATCAGAGTCATGAACAGGCAAGAATGGAAAATCTTAAATAAGGGGGTGGAGTTAACTGCTCCATATAATATAAGCAGGACCTGTGTGTGTGAAGTTCCATCAGGTCGCTTCTGACTTATGGCGACCCTATGAATTAATGTCCTCCAAAACATTCTATCGTTAATACTCTTGCTCAGATCTTGCAATCTGAGGACCACGGCTTCCTTGATTGGGTCGATTCATCTCATTTTGGGTCATCTTCTTTTCCTGCTGCCTTCAATTTTTACTAGTATTATTGTTTTTTCCATTGACTTCCATAGCCTCAGTTTAGTCATTTTAGCGCCTAGAAAGAGGTCCAGCTTGATTGGATCTAGAACCCACTTATTTGTCTTTTTGATGGCCCGCAGAATTTGTAAAACTCATCTCCAACATCACATTTCAAAGGAATCTACTTTCTTCCTGTCAGCTTTCTTCATTGTCCAACTTTCATGTGTCCATGGTAATAGGGAATACTATGGCATGAATTGATCCTGGTTGCCAGTGATATATCCTTACATTTAAGGATCTTTTCTAGCTCCTTCATGCTGCCCTTCTCGATCTCAAACTCCTTCTGATTTCTTGGTTGCAGTCCCCCTTTTGGTTGATGATGGAACCAAGGAATGGAAAATCTTGGACAATTTCAATTTCTTCATTGTCAATCGTAAAGTTGCCTAATTCCCCAGTAGTCATTACTTTTATCTTCTTGATGTTCAAGTGTAATCCTGCTTTGGCACTTTCTGATTTAACATTCATCAGTAGTCATTTCAAGTCTTCACTATTTTCTGCTGGTAATGTGGTGTCTAGGCCTGGCATGATCTGGTCCATGGGGTCGCGAAGAGTCGGACTCGACTGTGCGACTGAACAACAACAAATGTGGTGTCATCTGCATATCTCAAACTGTTAATGTTCCTTCCATCAATTTTCACTCCACCTTCATCTAAATCTAATCCATTTTTCCTTATCATATAAATTGAAGAGAGAGGAAGATAAAATACATCCTTGTCTGACACTTTTGTCTATTGCAAACCATTCTGTTTCTCCATATTCTGCCTCTTGACCAGAGTACAGGTTGCACATCAAAACAATCAGATGATGTGGCATACCCATTTCCTCTAAAACCAACCATAGCTTTTCACGACCCAGACAGTCAAAAGGTTGGCTGTAAACTATGAAAAACAAGCTGATTTTCTTCTGACATTTTCTGGTATGCTCCAGTACGTAACGTAAATTTGCAATATGATCTTTAGTGCCTCTTCCTTTTCTGAATCCACCTTGAACATCTGCCATTTCTTGTGCTTGTTGTAAGATTCTGAGCAGCACTTTACTTGAGTGAGAAATTCATGCGAAATTAATTAAGTAAAGTAGAGATCACAGTCGAGTCAGTTAGAATGGCTGTGTCATTCAGCCAGAATAGATTTTCATTTGTGTTGCAGAGTTTGTCTACTTTGTGGGCTTGGTGTGAAGTGTGTGTTTTTGAGCTATGTCTGTGGTCCTCTTGAGGGATTGTCTCAGAGGGAAACGTACCTTTCCAGCTGTCAGTTTGCACAGCAACAGAGAAGTTGCTGTTTTGAGGGCTTCATTCATAGGGTTGCTCTTCAAGAGGTACCCGGGGACCCCCTGGAATTACAACTGACCTTCAGGCTACATACAACAGGTCCCCTGGAGAAAATGGCTGCTTTGGCAGGTGGACTCTATGGCATTACATCCCGCTGAGGTTCCTCCCCAGGCTGACCTGGAGCTGGTAACCGTAGTCATCCATGACAGTCTTATTCTGACTGATGTATGTTTACTGTTGATATCAGAGGGAATTGTAAGACAGTTCTGTGAAACAACCTTAAATTGTTACTTTGTGGATATGTCGATTAAAGTCATATAAATAAATATAAATATATGTAATATAAATAAATGTATGCTAAAGCCATTTTAAATTGATGTGTTGGAATGTGGGAAAGGTTTATAAGGTCTGTTGAATTTGGGATTAAAGTCAGTTGAGAGATGATCTTTGGTTCAGGGGATACCCTACTTCATTGCAGGAGAATTACCCATTACGTTGCCAGGTTACTTTTATGGCTAATAGAATGGCATTCCCTCAATATCAGGGACTTCAGAACTTCCTGCACAGAAGAAAATGTTTTATGAAAATGCAGAATAGTGTGCTGGATCCTCTGATTCTGTTCTGCTGGTGGAAGAACCTTCCACCAGCAGATTGTGCCTCTCGCTGTGTCTCTGTGCTCTGGTGGAACAGTCCGGTAGGCACCAGCTCCCTGTTTGTAAATTACAACAGAGCAGCTAAAGGGAAGCATTGCAGTAGCCCCCCACCCCACCCCGCGCTAAGTGCGGAAGGGCCTGTCCTCTACAAACCTGTGAGGCCAGGGGCCGCTTCACTTTAAGGTAGGCTATGAGGTTTTCAAGACACAAATGGAGGTGGTCCGCCATTGCTTGCCTCTGCCCTGTACTTCCTCGGTGGGCTCCCATCCAAGTACTAACCAGGGCTGACCCTGCTTAACTTCCAGGATCTGATGAGATCGGGCTAGCCTGGGCCATTATGCTGATGGACTCATTGTGTTGTTGCTATGGCTTATTTGCTGATGCAATAAAGACCATGATGATGATGTTGATCATGATAAGTAGGCTGCAGCCTACTTTGAGAGACATGCAGCTACCTCTCCCCTCCCCTCCCCCTCTATACCATTAGAAGCTCATTGATTCACAGATCTTGAGCAGCAGAAGATACTTGCTTTTTCTTCTTTTTTTTGATGCAAGGACTAAAAGGACCGACACAAATTTTGCAGTTGCTAGGGTAAGGATCCTTATCATTGAGCAAAAGAACCAGGGTTTCCAGAGTGTAAGGGGACGGTTGGTTGATTAAAGGCTTAATATAGTGATCCCTTATATTCTCAGAGAACCTGCATTCAAGCAGGGCATGGAAGGACGTATCTGTCCTATTAAGGCCAGAAGGGCAGGTGCTGTCAGAATAGGGCCTATTCAAAAAATCTCCCCCGTAAAACCATTGTAGGTATAATATTCAATCTTGCAAACAAGAAAGCCCTACAGTAACACGGGATGGTAAGATAGTACATATAGGGGGGTAAAGATCTTGGGAAAGAAAGACCAAAAGGTAGGGGTGAGCAAACTCTGCAGGCTCTCAGGATCAAAATACTACAATCGATTTCTAGGACACGCTTTTTTGATCAGAGAAAATGCGTTGGATTTAACCCTCTCAAAAATATCATTAATTGACATTCCAGCTATCATCAATTTACTATCCAGGGCTTTCAATCCACGTCGATTTGTGGGTATCTTGATTTGGAGCTACTAACAAACCATCTTCTGCACAGAGCTGTTTTAATCTCCATTTAAAATCTCTGTTTAAAGGCATAAAGCCATGCTCTGGCTTCCAAGGATACCCGCCCAAATTCTGCCCGCAGTACAACATTTGACACACAGTAGAGAATATTCAGTATTTTCCTTAAAAATTGGGCTAAGGGTTGATTGTTGCTATCACAGATAGCTTTAATCCAAATAGTTGAGCCATAAGGGATGAGGGAAACAACTTTCAAATTAAAAGCTTGCACCGCTCCAGGAATATACTCCCCCCCCTATTATGGAATAACCTATTTATGGTGCTTGCGCATGGACTACTTTTGAGAATCCTACAAACACAGCCTTGGAAGGAGGAAGCTCATAGAATGTTCATGTGAGTTTCTGCCTACTTCTGTTTACAACATTTACGCCATTGTTTTCCCTGCGTTTGACTTAAGGGAGCATGGAACGCTGTGTTTTACAGAGAAGAAGGTTCTTATTCAAGCTTAGCTTCACATATTGCACTGAAGTCCCGGGGGAGAAAGTACCAGTAAGTCACACTTGTGTTTGCTTCCAGGATAATATGCAAAGCAAGGAGCTGGAGTTGCTTCCAAGCTCTAGCACGACTTGTTATTCCCAAAGTCCCGTCTGCTCCCAGCGCAGTGAGCTCATGTATTTATTTCTGTAATTCATGGCCCTCAGTATGGTTATTCCACAGATCCTTTTAAAATAGCAGCCAACAAAAGAAAGTCTCTAAAGTACACCCAGGATTCTTACTTGCTGGTTTTTTAATGATCGTATTAAAAAGTAATAGGTTTGGGGTTTATTGTCTTGGCTTCAAGGACTCGCTGAAAACGACTTCTGTTTTCTTTGCAGATGCTATAAGTTCCAGTAATCCTCGTGTCATCGATGATGCTAGAGCACGGAAGTTGTCAAACGATTTAAAAAGATGCACCTACTATGAAACCTGTGCCACCTACGGGCTGAATGTGGAAAGAGTCTTTCAGGATGGTAAAGATCAGTTCTCTATGCAGTATCTTGCAAAACCCGGTTGAGCTTTAATTTCCGTTCCTAAATTGACTGATAAAAAAAATTACATCTGAGTCTGAGGTGCTACTGGACCCAAATCTAGTTCATCTGAGTCCAGCCATGTGTGTTTCCTGCTGATCCTGATCTCATTGCATTATAAACTATAATACTTGCCCCTGGTCCATTTCTATGTGCGAAGGAAGGGACAGTAAAACTGTGTTTTAAAACTGTAATCAAAAGTACTGAACAGTGCTTCTGTGTTGAAAGTCTTACTGCTCCACCCTGTGTGTCTGCTCAGATCCGCTGACGACTTCCTCCTCCTCCTCCTCCTCCTCCTCCTCCTGTCTGGGTGTTCTGTTTCCAAACCTCTAGGGTCCTTGTGGCCCGTCAGGTGAGGGGGATGAGGTTGGGCATCTCTCGGCACATAGAGCAGCCTGCCCATGAAATAGTTAGCTTATGGTAGTAAGCAGTTATGTTGATCAGCCATTTAAATAAACAAACTAGTTGTGTCCGTTTGTGTCAGAGTTCTCTCAGCCCCACCCACCTCACAGGGTGTCTGTTGTGGGGAGGGGAAGGGAAAGGAGTTTGTAAGCCGCTCTGAGACTCCAAGTGAAGGGCGGGGTATAAATCCACCCTCCTCCTCCTCCTCCTTCTTCCTCCTTCCTCCTCCTCCTCCTCCTGTCTGAAGTGGAGGTGTAGGGGAGGGTGCTATTAGGCTCTTCTCCCTTCCACCCATGGGTTGGTTGCAGCTTTCTTGGCAACAGGCCCATAGCTACAGAGGGACACCTTGGGGCTGGGCACTTACTGCCCAGGCCTCCCAATTTTTAAAAAATTATTTTTCATTTTATTTTTCACTGAGCCATCACCCTGCCCCGCGAGCGCCAATGACCACCAGCAAACCCAGCAGCTGGTTGAAATAACCCACTGGGTAGGACATGGCTGGGCCGGGGGCCGGGTGGAGAGTGCTGCCGCTGCCGCCGCTGCCACTGAGGAGCTCACAGCCTCCCCACCACCTTCATGGCCTCCTGGTTGTCTCGGCCCCCCAATAGGGAAGGCCAGTGAGGCGAAAATCCTACAGAGGCTGCCAGGAAAGCGGGGTGAGGAGGCCACTTCCTGCCTGCCTGGAGTGTGCAAGTGTGGAATGGGCCTTTCTTGTTCTCACGCTTGCAAAGCGGCATCAGCTCCTCTCTCCTGTGTGAGTCAAGGGTTATCCTGGGGCTGGTTGGCTCATGGGTATGTGTGTGGGGGTGCCCCCCCAACTTATTTAAATCCTCCCCCCCGAAGAAAAATCCTGGCTACACCCCTGCTCGGCAAAGACAAGTAGTTGCTGGTGGAAGAAGTACGTTTTTAGCCCAGAAAGTCACAGTGGGTGAGGGCTGGAGACATTGATGAGAGGGGGCAGCAGTCACTGCTCTGCCTTTCTTTCTTGGAGAAACCACGAAGTGAGCAAAGCCATTATGGGGATGGGAGGCCTTGATCAGGGCTGGGCCGCTGCTGTCAGGTGAAGCAGGTGGGAAGGGCAGGTTTCACTGCATGATTTTTACTTGGTATTACCGTTGTCATCATCATCTGTAGTACCCATCATGATCTCAGTCTGGCAGGTTCTGGACACAGAACTGGGCTAAACAAGAACCCAAATACTGGGCTTTGTTTGTTTGTTTTGTGTTGAAAGCAAGCCCAGTTTGCCAGATTCATTTCTGAAGAGACAGGGGTAGTCTGAGTCACTGTCTGAAAACAGGATTTATATGTCTGTTAAGCTTCTTAGTAACATTATGGCAATACTGATGGGTCCTTCAAAACAAACAGAAGTATGAATGAAGGACCGACTTTACCCATCAAATAAGTGCTCGAAAAAGAAGCCTGATAGGATTTTTTTTTTTGGGCTGTCTGGTATCTTTTTCTGTGGTGTACAGTGGGTGAGTCATGTGCAAGCCCACTAAAATAAGTATAAAATACTGTAGTTTTCCCGAGGCACTGATTATGCTTATTTCTTAGCAGAGTGATATATGCGGGCACTTAAATGTGTGTTTTCCCCCTTTGTTTTGTGCAGAAAAGGTGATATACCTTACGTTTCTTCATGACCATTATGTGACTTGTGTTCAGTGTTGCTTTCATGGACCATATGTGGAAACTTTATTTGGAGATTTGAGAAGTTTTGTTCTCTGTTTGATCTTTTACTTGTACCTTATTTGAATTTGTATGCCTGGGGCTGCACCTGCCAGTAGCATTATTCCTGGAGGCAGAAATGGCTCCCCTCTGCTCTCCAGATCTTTGTCCTATTGAGGTGCAGGTCCTCTGGCATCTGTGTTTTGATTGCTGGTAATATATTTGTGCCCGTCACAAAGAATCTGAGGAGACATGATATTCTGGTTGCTCAGTGGAAGATAGCAAAAGCGGGATGCTGTCAGGCTGCTACCATCTGCTGGATCCTTGCAGTGTGCTGTTGGTGAACGGCACTGCCGTCTTTGTCAAAACATTTCTTTATCCGGATCATAATAGCTAAGTGCCTCTGTATTAATTTGTTTGTTCTATCATTTGCCATGGTCACTATGATAAAGACATTAAGACTTGTTCCTACTTTTGCTCTTACCTGGATAGCCCAGGCAAGCCCGATGTCATCTCGGAAGCTAAGCAGGGCTGACCCTGGCGAATACTTGGAAGGGAGACCTCCAAGGAATACCAAGGCTGGGAATAGCAAGCCACCTCTCTAAAACGTCCTAGCCTCACTAGGAGTTGCCGGAAGTCACCATGACTTCCAGGCATGCAAGCATGCAAGCACATACACAGCCAGTTCGGTGTAGTGGTTAAGTGCGCGGACTCTAATCTGGGAGAACCGGGTTTGATTCCCCACTCCTCCACTTGCACCTGGCTGGATGACCTTGGGCAAGCCGTAGCTCTGGTAAGAGCTGTTCTTGAAAAAGAGCAGTTTCTGTCAAGCTCTCTCAACCCCACCTACCTCACAGGGTGTCTGTTGTGGGGAGGGGAAGGGAAAGGAGTTTGTAAGCCGCTCTGAGACTCCCTTGGGTAGTGAAGGGCGGGGTATAAATCCAATCTCTTCTCTTCTTCTCTTCTCTACACACACATGCTCACATAAATACTCACCCCCCACCCCCCACCCCCAAAAATTTGTTCCTACTTTCACTAGGAGCCGTTTTTGGTACACTCCCTTCCCAATTGAAAAGGGAAGGTACCAGACTACTGTGTGGGTGGGATAGCATCAGTGTTCCCTCTAAGCTGAGTTAGTGTGAACTAGCTCACAGGTTTTTTAGCCTCCACCTCTGTCTTTGCTCAGGAGGGACGGCTCCAGAGCAAACTAATTTATGCAGCAGCCAGAGCACTCACTCACAACTTGAATAACAGTAGCTCACAAAGTAGAATTCTTGCTCATAAGCTGTGGAGCTTAGAGGGAGCATTGGATAGCATGATGGCACCTGTTACAGTGGGATTTAGGAAGATCTCTCCAGATTCCACAAAGAACTGATCCCAGCTGCTCGCAGGGCCACTGAGCAAGCTTCAGTATCTTATATTCTAATAGTGAAGTCTGGATATCTTTGAATATTTAAATCTAATGACTGGAGCTATGAACAGGCAAGACAAATCCTTCTAGGAACCTGAAAAGGAGGGGTGGGACCTCAGGGGGGTATAAATGCCATAGACTATACCCTCCAAAGCATTCATTTCCTCCAGAGGAACTAGCTTTGTCAATCTCCACGTGAGGGCTGGGGATTACCTAAGCATACAAATGCTCTCCAGATTACAGAGATCAGATCTCCTGGAGAAAATGGCTGCTATAGAGGGTGAGCTCTGTGGCATTGTACTCCACTGAGGTCCTTATCCTCCCACGGCTCCACCCCCAAATCTCCAGGGATTTCCCAACCTCGATTTGCCAACCCTAAAGGGGACTGATCTCTATAGTTGGGAGATCTGTTGTGATCTCAGGAGGTCTCCAGTCCCCACCCAGAGGTTGGCAACCCTAGAAGGAGAGAAGGAAGCAGGAAAAGGGGCCTTCAGGAAAGGGAAAGGGACATAGTAGGAGAGGAGGAAGTCCGATGCCTCCTGCAAGTCCTTGCGGGGTTCCCATTTGTACATGTACATTAGATATCTTGGGCCTAGAGATCCTAACGGCAGAAACTCCAACAGCCATCTGTGACAGACAGGTCCAGTTCTGCCTGTGTCAGAGTGGAGCCAATGAGAACTGAGGGTTAGTTGACAGTTAGAGCAAGGGAGAGCTGTGTGAGAGGGAGGTGGGGGCGAGTCCATGAATGAAAAAGTATGAGTCAGAAGCTGGCTGTAAGTAAGATAAGTTTGTAGCTGAGAGCCCTGGAAGAATTAAGAGAGTTGGGGATTCAGAGTTCAAGTGTTGAAAAACGTATCTATGTGCTTATAGCGCTCCAGTGTTGTTTAAAGTTTTGAATAAAAGTCAACTCCTTGTTGTTCATCTTGGCTGAGTGTGAATTGTCTCAGGTGAAGAACTGACACATTCTCACGTCTTTTTGTTAACTCTTGCATTTACGTGCTGCTATCCATTGATCTTACCGGGCAGCCTGATCCAATTTCAGCCCTGCATCTGCATCTTTGCTCTGAGTGGCCCCTCCTAACGGCTGCCCCCCTACCCTCTTTTTCCCTGTAACTTGAGGAGATTTTGTTCCATTTGTCTGAAGAAGTGTGCTTTGCACAGTAAAACTTACAGTTTGAATAAAACTCTTGTTGGTCTTAAAGGGGCCACTCGACTCAAACTTTGTTTTACATACAAGCCAGTTAGGCTTCAGCCTGGGTATATATTTATATAAATGGCAGCATAGGAAGGGAAGCAGTATTTAGTTTCCTGACCCGGAGTGTGTGTGTGCGTGTGTGCTGTCAAGTCACAGCTGACTTACAGCAACCCTGTAAGGTTTTCAAGGCAAGAGACATTCAGAGGTGGTTTGCCATTGCCTGCCTCTGTGTCACAACCCTGGGCTTCCTTGGTGGTCCCCCCGTCCAAA